TGCTTGGCACACCATGCTATGGTAGGCATCCCACATATGAAAAGTAGAGGAAGATGGGCACGGATGTTAGCTCAGGACCAGGCTTCCTCAGCAAAAAGAGGAGGACTGGCAGTAGTGAACTCAGGGCTGGTCTTCCTCAAAAAAAAAAAAAAAAAAAGAGCAAAATAAGAAGTTAATATACTCCTAGCAGCCACTCACCTTTCTACCTTTTGAGTTGGGCAAGATACGAAACCAGAAAGAACATCAATTAACTTCACTTTATGATGTAAGAGTTAATAGGACTTTCTCTAGCTTGATTAATGATATGTGGGGTTTACTGCTTGATTTCTAGGGATATTTTTGCCTTCTGAGTGGTCAATCTCAGGAGTTCAAATGAGTGTGAAACTACTTACCTTGGGTTTTAGGAAATGGATCTCATAATGCAACACAGTTAGAGAACTTTGTAGAAACTATCTATACTTTTTTGCTATTACAGTTCTTAATCCTTTTATTAGTAGTCCACTAAATTCAAACTCTCTAAGTCAGAGTTCTCTTCCCTGTAACTGCATTAAATATTACAACTTCCAGATACCTCTTTTCTGACTTCGTGTCCCAGTAGCAACGACTCTCAGCTCTTGAGGAAATGGGCAGCTGGGGGCTATCTCTGGCTCTGGCCTATTTCAGGCCCCTAAATCATTAGCATTGGGAGGAGATCAGGAATCGCCTTGAAGTAGTATTTTACTATATGGCTCTCCATTTCCCAAAGACAAAGGTTTCTATAACTTTAGAATAAGAATGCTGAATTTAGTGAGTCACATTTTTTTTCTATTATAAAGTTTAGAGATTATTCAAAGACAGTGGATTTTTCCAATCGACTTAGACCACATTAGTGACCTGTGACTAATACTTGGTACTGGATCTTGGGAAAAAAAGATTTTCTGTGAAGTTCTGACAGTAGATTCTTTCCTAAAATACGTTCACATATATTCAGTGGTCTTCTCTTCCCAGTTGATTAACTCTTTTTCCTCCTAAGGAAGTACTAAGCCAAGTCACTTGCTTTTCCTTCTTTCCCTCCTTCTCTTATTCCTTCCTTTATTCCTATAACAAATATTACTAAATGCCTCCTATGTGCTAGGTACTACGGACATAAATGAATGAGCAAATTACTTAGATTTATGGAATATGGAGATGTAGGTGATAAACTGGGTCTTCACTGGAAAGATCCATGTAACAAATATCAATCAAGAGCAATTCATGATCATTTTGTTTCTAAAGGTTTTTCTTCCATTTTTCTCATAGATTCACCAGGGGCATAGAATCCCAAGATAACTGAGAAATGTTTAAATGTTACAAAGAATACAAGAGTTAGGAAGCATTAATCTAAAACATAATTACCTAACTGAAAACAGATTTCAAAATATTTTGTCTATTTTACATAAATAAGATATAACTTTCCCCAATACTTTCAACCTTTTAATTTTTATATAATTCTAAGCTATAAATCATGCTATGGGCTTTCAAGTTTCTTTCCATCATTTATATGGTATATAAAATTGCCTCTTTGAGGCAAAATCTTAGGCTTTTAAGTAGAATTTTTAAATTGTCTCATTCATTCAACAAATATTATTTATTGAGTTCCTCTACCAGAAACTAGATCAAGTTATGAAAACACATAGTTTCTGTCCCCAAGGAGTTTTTAAAATCCTCAACATTTAATCTTTTCACAGCTTTTCAAACATTTATTATATCATAGCAAAAAGAATAAAGGCTTTAGAAGCAGACAGGCAGAGCGAGGTTTGAGCTTTACTAAGGGGTAAAGGTAGTAAATGAGCTACTTATCGCTTCTGAGCACTGATCTCTTCCCCTGTAAAATGAGGATAATAGCATCTACCTTGAAGAGTTATGTAACTAAAGTATCTAGTAGAACACTTGACCTAAATAGAATCTACTATATTATTTTTCAGTTCTAAATGATCACTGCAAAAACTCAGACCATTTACACTAATAACGAACATTCCATCTTTCAAAAAATGCTACCTGAACCACATTATATGCAGATAGAAGGTAAAAAGTGTAGAAATTCAATCTGATGCTATACACTTCATATCATCTTAAAAATATCTAACGTATTTCCAATTAATGAGGAAAAAAGTCAAAGTCCATTTTGAAGACGTAACACTAAGTCAATCATATGCACAACATATTACAGATCCTCCCAAATAAGTGTGCTGTTTCTTCTCAAGGATACATGGTCTAGTAACTGTTTAGGACTTCCACAGACCCAATTTATATCCATCAAGAAATTACTTCTTAAGCTGGAGTTCCTAGACTCTAAATTCAGAGGCTCAGCAGTTGCCCTAAAGGGTAGTTCTAAGAACTGAGATTCTGCTTTTCTGACAGAGAACAGCATCTACGACAGCTTTGAGAGCAATAGTTGCTGACTTGGTAAAGATGCATAAGAAAAGACCAAATCATATTTTGAAACAAGTATAACTCCCCCACTGAACTTTCCTGTAATAAAAATATTTTAATGCTCTGAAAGAATTAACATGCCTTTGAAATGGCCAAATTAGAATTCAAATTTTGAGGTAGGAAGGGACCTTAAGTTCCCTGCTTCCCATCCTACCCCCACCAATTTAGCAAAGAGGAAACTGAAGCCAAGAGAGTGAGGGAGGGGATTCCCCCAAGACATGCCTACCCAATGGCAGAGACTGGAGTAGACATTCAACCCAGCATTCTGCTCACAAGAGCAAGTTTCCAATTCTATGATTTTAATAAAGGAATGATTTATGCACAAAAGAAAAAAGCTCTTTAAAATGTTTCAGTGACTGGGTTCTCAATAAATAAACTTTTAACCAATGTGAAGAAAATCCTGAGGACATTATTCTAAAAGCTAAATAAATATTACCAGCTTTTCTGAATTTGAGGGACATTAAAAACTGCTGTGACTGCTCCTAAGTCACTTTATTTTAAAAAAAGTTTCCAAAACAAAGTAAGCAAATCAACAAACTTAGAGTTGGGAAAACTGATGATTCATCCATTACCAAATGCAGGAATCCTTTCTAGAACATTCTGACAAATGACTAACCAACTCTGTTTGAATGTTTTTCAGGGATAAGGGACATTTTCAAAGGAGCGTAGGCCACCTTCGTCATCACAGTTTAGTCACAAAGGTATTCCAAATGAACCCAAACCAGCTTCACTGTAGACTTCTACTCTACATTGGAACCAGTTCTGCTCTCTGTAACAATATCGAATTAGTCTAGTATCTATTTTTATATTTCACGTCCACTTTTTCAAATATTTAAAGCCTGTGATCAGTTTAGCAGTCTTCTTTTCTCTTCTTCTTGATAAATATATCTAGAATATTAAAAAGCACTTGGAAATAGCTTATACAAATCACATGCAGCTCTATTCAGTTCAACAAAGGTTTATCAAGTCCCAGGTATTATGCTAGGTTCTGGGAGTACAAAGAGAAATGAGACACAATCCTTGCCTTGGAGCAGCTTACAATATAGTGGGGGAGAAAAGCATACACAGAGATAGTTTTAATCTAATAAAAGCCAAGTGCTAAAATCATGTACAATAATAGTTATACACTAGATTAGAGAAGGAAGGGATCAGGGTGAAGGGTACACAGAATACAACAGCAGCATTTTGCTAGGGTCACATATTTGGATCAAAATTCCTGGATTGAAAATTCTACATAAACTACTAAAAAACAGTTCAACCTAATCTAAACAAAATGTGATGGTTCTCAGTAATCATATAGAGAGGGATTGAAAATATAAAAATATGCATTCATATTAGAGATATTATGAGTGCACATTTAAGCAATATTTATTTGCTAAAATAAAATAAATTATTACAAAGCAGATCTTAAAATCAACGGCATTTATATAGATTAAGGAAGAGAGTGGTTACTGACTTCCAGTGTGAAGGGTGAAGTAGTGTGTGTTAGAAGGAAATTATTTGGTATGGCATCCAAGAAAGCCTTCTTCTCATTCGATAGCATTTTTTTCCCATGAAAATTCAAAGAATTAAAACATGAATGTTCAGGATTTCAAAACAATAGCAGGTACAATTTATAGTTGGAATGTTAATTTTTTCCTTGACCAAGAAACCCTTCAAAGATAGAATTTGGTTGAACAATACTTAAAGTGAAATACCTCAGATCTCTTGAGAATCAGAGTTAAACTTTATTAAAGCTGTCATCTTTAAATTATTTTGAACTGTTACATGTAAGAAATAAGATTAAAATTTCCCCTGACCATACAATCTTGTCTAAGATCCGAGTGCATGTCAACCTTCTCTGTGAATTTTCCTTCAGACTAAGGATTTATTTAGCACTCCAGTCAATGGTAAAAGAAAATTAAGACACTGTTCACCATTAACTTCTTTACAACACCTACAAACATGATTCCCATATTTCAGATTTAAATGTTTATTACATTCAGTCAATAATACTCTATAATTAACAGTAATTTTTATTTCCATGTGGTTCTTGATAATGGGAACAAAAGATATATGTGAGAATGCTTATTTGTCTCAGGTTTGTTTATTTTTTAAACTGCTTGGTCATTTTTAACTTCTTGGTTACAAAAGGACACTGCTTGTCCACACCTGATTGTTCACAGCCCGCAGAACATCATGCTCTCTAAAGCAGTATCTGCCAACGGGAGTGATTAGGACAAAAGTAGAGGGGAAATATTTTAGAATAACCTGGAGAATTTTTCCAGGCTGTCCCTCACCACTGTCACAAGCACAGTGAGCCAATGCTTTAGCAGTGTGCTGCCGACCTAATAACGAGACTGAAATCAAGGGCTTAGCTGGAACTGAATTTAGAAGTTACTGTCCTATAAGGGCTGCTAAAAAGGACCTGAAAAAAGAGTAATGAGGACAACACACAGGGTTTCTGAAGATACCTATGTCTACAGAGGTTCAAGTTCCCAGCTAGACCGAGAGGAAGGTAATCATTTCTATAATATCTATGTGCAAGCGGTGCACTTTCAACTGCTTACCTCCAACATTCTGAATTACTATGGTGCCTGCCACCACCACCTATAAAAGAACAAATGTATTCAGAAGATGAAGGGGAAATACTATAAAAGGATAAGTATTTTATTAAAATCCAATAACCATTACTATCAAAAAGATGCAGAAGTCAAGAGAAGAGAAATTGGAAAGAATAAATTTTGCCAGCCACTTGTAATACATAAAACTAATAATCATCACATAAAAAGCCTTTCTTTAATAGTTCCATGGTTACTATAAAGAATACTTTTGCAAGTTTTCTTGGCAGTCTCTCTTAAACAGTTATTAAGTGTTAAAAAGCTGGTAACTGATGATTATCAAAGTATCAAAAAGTTGAAATTGAATCTATCTGGTCTCATTCTCCCTTTTTTACTGGTTTTACCACATTACTTTAGTAGGTAGACTGAGACAGCTTGAGGTGTGCTGTGCCAATGCTGTATTGCATAAAAGGAAATGATAGAGTCTTCTGAATTTATCAGCTTGGCTTACACCAAGCCTTTGAACATCCCTGTCCCAGGGATTAATAAAGTCTAGAGCAAAAACTCTAGAGCCCACATATTCTCAGATCTGAAAATTTACGCAAAATGTTTCAAATTCAATAGTATGAAGTGAGCTGAGTGTAAGACAATAGGAGGTAGTAAAGACTCTAGTATATTGGAGAACTCTCCTTTCAAAATGGGGCAGCTGCTACTCAGCTCTGGCCAGTTGCTGGCATGTAAGAATGTGGATCCAATGTAACTAGATCTTCTGATTTTTCAAGGAAAGTCAGAAATTGAACTGTTTCAAAATTTTATAACTCTTTGTTGGCAATCAGTTAAAAATACAAAGATTTGAGCCAAACAAAATATACCTGAGGACTAAGTTCAGCCTGCAGGCTTGCTAGCTTGTGATCTTTGATGAGATTCCTAGGAAACTCAAGATAGCACTTTATCCATTCTTGGTAATCAAATGTACTCAGAGGAAATGTTTAAATATTCTGCTTCCACTTGTGCCTTTAGATCAGTCAAATCTTGGTGGATCTGCACCCCCAAGGTATGTCTGGAGCTGACTAGCTATCTAGGATCATGCAGTCCTACATAGATTGGGAATAGATCACTGTTCAGGCCCACCTCTACTAGAACAAATCCCACGAACAACAGATTCACAAATGAAAAGAAAAAGTTCTGTTTGGAACCAACATGCAAATGGGTTTTAGAAGTAGGATAGTTCTTCAGAAATAACAAAGTATCACAGCACTAACAATAATATTACCTTCTGATGATTTGTGGAAGAAGACAGTATTCTTCCTACCTCTTAAATCAGTTTAGTCTGCCTATCACAAATGAATGCCCAATAAATACTGCTGTTATTTCTCTTATTCTGAGGAGGAAAAGCAGTAGATTGAGAGTCTGGAGTCCTGCGATATAGTACCTGCTTTACGTAACCGTGGACGAACAGGGCCCTTCATTTCTCTGGGCCTTAATTTCCTCACCTAGAAATGAGGGGATATCTAGATAATCTTTTAGCACTGTTCAGCTCTTAAATGATATGATCTTCTAATTATCGGTTTTGTAAAGAGTCATGCTATAATTTTAATTCTATGCTGCTTTCTTCTACTGTCTTTCCGAAGATTTACTCAGAGACTATAATTAAAATTAAGAAGGAAAACTTAAAACAGGCCATTGTTACTGTTTTAAAATTATTCAAGTCATTGCTCTCCTTTGTTAGGGTGAAAAATACTAAAAGATTTAAGTGTTAAGTTAAATTTACGATGCATTTTTAGGAAACATGTATAGAAATATTTCTTCTCTTTCTCTTCCTGTTCCCATCATTCTGTCTTTCTTCACTTTAGTTTCCTTTTATTCCTTCTAATTTCCTTCTCTTATATATACTTGTCTCTTTTAACTGGAAACAGAAGGAAAAAATGCTCCTCTGGAATTTGGACAGTGAGGAGAAATTTAAAAAATTACCTTTCCAGGTAATCCAAATGCGAAGAGTCCAAGATCTTCATAAGATGTCACAGCTGTTAAAAGAAATGATAATTTTCACTTTTACACAAAACCATTTGTGTGCCAGGTCTTAAAGGAAAGAAAGCTACTCCATTACTACCTTATAGCTATTGGATGGTCACATTAAATTTAAAGCAGAAGTAACCACTTTTGGGGGAAACTTCTGAAGACATTTGGTCTGTAACGATAGAGTCCTCTTAGAATAAGTAGAGCTTAGCAAATCCCAAGGCTGTCTAATAACCACTCAAGCTGCATTAATTCAAATGCAATAATTACTCAAGAACAACCCCACTTCTCACTAAACAGTGAAATCTAAGTTTTCATTGGCAATAGTTTCTGAAAACTGCACAAAGTTAGATAAAGTATGAAAGTTGTATCATAGTGTCAGAGACATTCACTTTTCCAGGCTACCTAGGATGATGATAATGTGTTCATGATAGAAACAATACCTTTATCCCCAAATTAATAGGGCATACATTTTCTTTTTTCATCATAAGAGTATGAAATTACGTTTTCATTCTAGTGATGCCACTGGTAAAAATAAGAGAAAAACATTCACATAATCCTATAGTTTGAAAAGTGCTTAACCTTACAGTACTTATACTAAGAAAAAGCTGACCAGTAGATACTAAGGCTTGGTATAGCAACACACATCTCCTATTGAGTCGACGCTCATCATTTCTTAACGCAAGTTTAATATATCTTCTCAAGACACACATGAGTTTTCTTTAAACTGCCACTAAATTAACAAAAAACTCCACATTTTTAAACCATATATGGTCTTTACATGTTATAACTACAAGGTCAGAAAGAAAACAGTGAAATGCTGAAAAGATAACTTTTACTAATTAAGAAAATTTACCTATTTTTTTGCCAAGTATACATTTAAAATTTTAACTCTAATCCATTCACAAACTTGATCAAAGAAGTTAGAAACTTTTTGGATGATACAACCATTTTTTAAAATGTATTTATACACTACTAAACACAGCGGACAAGGACAACTTAGTTTTGAATTTGGGATATATAATTTGATTATAAGTATGAACATTTATGCTTTAACAATGAAAGACATCAATAATAATCTTACAGGGATAGATTTTGGATATATTTTAGAACATAAAATTAAAAAGCAGAGTTACAAAAGTAAAAACTGGAATTTTTTCCTTCTATGTGAATTGCTAAAAATTTTTTTCCAAATTCACATATTCTAAAGTGAATGTCATCAAAAAAATTAATAATTACTTTAATCAATAACTATTTACTAGTTTGTTTTAATATTCCTAAACATAATTAAGTGATAATGTTGTATAGGGGCACAATTCTTCGTATTTAGCATTCCAAAGCCTTGGTATATATACTAAACCAGAAAATTCTCTAAATGTTAGCTTCTATCTAATTTGACACTGAGAAGGTAATTTTATTACCTACTATGCGTATACGAACCGAGTTTCCAGACGAGGTCTGTTACTATGAGGCATGAGATCAAAGGAACATCATTGTTCATTTTTAGCATCCTTCTCTAATATTACAGTTAAATTTGTCTGTTCTTTCCTAAGAAAACATTGCCTCCCAAGAATTTAAAGTAAGGAGGCTCTTCAGTGTTACATATGGGAATGTATGAAATAACTTGCCTTTAAAGTGATCTATTTTGCATCAGTTTCTCAGTCAGTGAGAAGTTATCAAGATAATATTCATCAAAAAGTTTAACTATGCTTAGGGGCCAGCCCCGTGGCCGAGCAGTTAAGTTTGCACGCTCCGCTGCGGCGGCCCAGGGTTTCGCCGGTTCAGATCCTGGGCGCGGACATGGCATGGCTCATCAGGCCACAGTGAGGTGGCGTCCCACATGCCACAACTAGAAGGACCTGCAACTATGTACTGGGGGGTTTGGGGAGATAAAGCAGAAAAAAAAACAAAAAAGAAGATTGGCAACAGTTGTTAGCTCAGGTGCCAATCTTCAAAAAAAGAAGTTTATTTTTAAACAGCAGAAAACACGTATAGATTGTATATTTGGTAAACATGAAAAGCTAGTAACTTTTCCTTAAGCAAAATCATAATATTGAAAGAGTCCAAAAAGAACTGGCATTTCAATTATCTAAATTTAAATAAGCTAAACATTTATTCTTAATTTTTTAATTAGAACATAACCTTAATTATTCCAGAAAATATAATCAAACTAACAGCTTAACGAAGATAGTTGTAATTGCAACTTCTGACAAGACTGGCATACTTTCAGCAATCTCAAACTTGTTCTCCATTATTTTCTAGTTTTATAAAAATCTCTCTAAACACAGCAAATTCCCAAATCCAGAGTGAAAAAGGCCTAGACTTTTAAGTGAAGACTGAGTATAATGTCCAAATCCTAACTCTGTCTCATGTCAGCAAGTCTGGCTAGTCCTTCAGTTCTGTCCCTCTCATACTTCTTTTATGTTGTAGAAATTAGAAGTACTTTTCCATGTCTGAGATCATCAGGAATATGAATCATGGCTTCTGGCTTAACATCGAGGCTTTACTAAAATATGCACACAGTCAGCCAAATGCTTTATCTTCACATATTCACTTTTCAATGGTTTTCTGGATCATCTTGACATTCCAAAAGCAACTCATGAAATACTTTCAAAGTTCTATTCTGTCATTTGGGCAAATAAGATGCCAGTAACAGTATAATCTGGTACTGACTTTTGGAATGCAATTTGACCACTGAAACTTTAAAATATTTATAACAATTGACCCCTAGGAGCTTGCATATTAGGAAATAAAACTAAATCAGAGAAATCATTATATGCAAAGATACTCATCATGCATTATTTACATTGGAAAAAAACTACCTAAATGTTCAACATTGGTTGAGTAAAGTAAAATTATGGTAAATATACCTGACAGAATAATATGTAGCCACTAAAAACTGTGTTTATAGGGGCCGGCCCCGTGGCTGAGTGGTTAAGTTCATGCGCTCTGCTTCGGGAGCCCAGGGTTTCACCAGTTCGAATCCTGGGTGCAGACATGGCACCGCTCCATCAGGCCATGCTGAGGCGGCATCCCACATGCCACAGCTAGAAGGACCCACAACTAAAAATACACAACTATGTACCGGGGGGCTTTGGGGAGAAAAAGGAAAAATAAAATCTTTAAAAAAAAACAACAAAAAACTATGTTTATAATAACATTAAAAAGGCAATATTAGATAAAAAAATAGCATTCGAATATAATCTATAGAGTAAAAATACAAGAGTGGAATGAATTAAAAACCAACAGTAACAATGATTGTGCAGTCTTCTTTCTTTTTCTCCATTTTTTTGGGGAGGGGTTCAAATATTCTATAATGACTATAATGGGGTAGTGAAACTTTACTTTTAAAAACCTTATCACTTGAATAGTTCTGTTTCCTCCATCAAATATTTGATAGGATTTATTTAAGCTACAATTTTTAACTTCCCTGGTGTTTAGTAACTTAAATATCACTTGGTCTACTAAAAAGGGACATTTTTCCTGCTCTTTCAGATGATCGATGTTTTAATACCTTATTTATAAAGTGAAAGATGTCTTGAAAGATATTAAAACAAGATGTGGTGATGACCAGCCACATTAATAGCATATTCCTCCAGAACAGGAATAACATTAATTATGAAATTAATTCAGTCTTTTACAGGAATTCATACAAGCAGTACTTGGCACAATCCTCCTTAAATAAATAACTGAAAGCAGTCATTAGCAATCTATTTTAGGAAATTATTTTTTGATATTAAAGAAATCAATCCTCTGTTTTTGAGGGGGCAGAAAGGCTGTAAATCCTAATAAAGTAAACTGGGGAAAAATTTCTTCTTTAATATACCATCAAGGCACACTTTAGTGCTATTTTGGCTAGACCAAGAGTTTGGCCTCCACAGGAATCATTTAAAAAGTTGCTTCCCATGAAGTAGTGGAATATTTCCAGCTAGTTACTCCAGTGTTCTGTCTACTTTGCATTTTTCCCTCAATGAAATAGGACAATTAATAAACTCTGGTTATAGTACAAAGCCCAAGTTTCACCAGCAGCAATATTATCTTTGGATCTAGATTGAGGGACATGAGTTATTCAAACACAGTTCAACTCTCAGAAAGTTGGCCATTTGGAATGCACCCTTATTATTTTGAAATTCTTTTCCTTCTTCTGTTTTCCATCATTTTCCTCTCGCCTTTTTTCTCCCTAATAGTGCTGTGCAGGTCATTCATTTATCCAAAGTCTACTATGCAATTGTATTGCCATGTCTGATCTTTCTTAACATGTATTTAAATGTAAGTTTACCAACTAAATGTGGCGTGACTTTAGAGCACTCAATGCAGTAAAAGAAAATAGAATGCTAGAATACTAGGAACATTCTCCATGTAAATGACACAAAGGCTGTGATATTGCATGCATAGAGAAACTTCTTGGATCCCAGTATACTGCTTGGCTCTGCAGTGAACAACACTTACATAGTAATATCCTATAAATGTTACTCAGTTTTCAACTTTCAGACTCAATTTATAGGTAAAACATGAATGACTTAAATATGATTACAAAACAGAAAGTAAATACTGTCAACCTGGACAATGTAAGGGTACAGCAGAAACACTACGGGAAATAGGAAGAGGACAGGTGAAAGAAAGGATAGGAACACTAATATCATATAACATAGCAGAGAGTCAAGAGACACTGTCTAAAGTCCATGGAACAAAAATAAAGGTTTAAGTGTATTATTTAGAGTTACAAAATAATCAATGAAAGAACTATTTAATATAAACTAATGAAAATTACAGGGGGGAAAGGAGGATTAGTGTTCTTAAGCTAACTCCTCACCCTTCAGAATGAAGTGTCAACAGATAATCTCTTAAATCAATAAATAACAGTAGAAGAATATTATTTAGACTTAGGAAGATAACCACCAAAAGAGTTAAAAACAAAAACTCTAAACGGTGCTAACTCTGGGAATGAAACCAGAAGCGGGTAAGAATGGGCTGGGAACTCCTCCAAGCCCTGCTGCACAAGTGCGTG